TCTGCAGGAAAAATCAGTGCCGTTAGCGACAAAAACCTGCGAGGAACTATACGAAAAACGCATCTTTGCACCGGCAGTCGGTTAGTGCGCTGGCCATTTACTTTTTTAGTGTGTAGTTGGGGAGAAAAAAGGAAATGATTTTTACCTAAGCAAAACCTAAAGAGGTTCGTCGTTAGCTGAACAAATTCTAAATTTCGGTCTGTAGTGCGCGTATGAAAAAGCTGCCCTAAAGTTAACCAGTTTGGCTGGCCCATTATTTGTAACGAAGATATTAAGTGCATATATTAGTATTAGCATTTTACACACTCAGATCGAGAAGTGACCGATGCGCACCTCAGCCCAGCCAAAGTGCTACTGTAGCATTTAATTTCCGTAATTTTTTTTTTTTAGGAATTCCCAATGACCAGAATTTCACACTAACACATTTTCAGGGACGATTTGTTTGAAAGCGAATGCGGCCACACTGCCACTGTACGAGTAGCCAGCATGCCTGAAAATGCCGCAGCGAGTAGCAGTAGCATGAGTAGCGAGGGAAAAAAAAATAGTGAACGAAATGTGAAATGCATAAAATGAAATGCTTTTATACCTGTATGAAACAGTCAGCAGCAACAGCAGCAGCAGCAGCAGCTTGCTTATGCTAGTCCTGTCGCGTTTTTTTCCTAGGCCAAACTAATTGCACGGCTCAGCAGAACAACTCTTCATCACACAAACAGAAGAATGCTGCTCTAGAAATAATAACCTAAGTGTTAGAAACGAACAGAACTGGCATTGTACACACACATACACACATACATACACACGCACATACACATACACACGCACGCACACACATACACACACGCATACACACAGACTCAGACACTTACTGAAGCGATAATTTCAAAGACTTACGGGGAGATGATAACGCGAGCTGGTTGAGCACGCCGCGGTCCCGCTGCAGCAAGCCAGTCGCTCAGCTCACGGTCCAAGTGCTTCGCATTCTCCTTGTACCTGAAACAGAATGCTGAAAAATTGAGCACTCGCAACAAAAACAAAAAAGCCACTGCGAAGCTCCCAGAAAAGCAAAACCAATTAGCGAAAATCGTAAAACTGAGGTTCCTTACTGTGCATTTTTTGCAGCTATGCAATGCGGAAAACGCATACTGCCAAGGGGTGTGTGTGCGTGTGTGTGTGTGTGTGCATCTGTATGTGCATCCGTACCAATTTTCATCTCCAGACCTACAAATGCTACAAGGCTAAAATCTTGGGAACTTAATCTACATGCATGTTTGGGCACCTATCCCCAAAATGGACACTCTCGCTCACATA